CGTGAGTCGGAGAATCTGCAAAACCCTTGCCCTCCTTCCTCCAGCATGTGCCGTGATGGGCTCCAGCGCTGGTTCATCTGCCGCTCAAAAATCTCACGCGAGCGAACGGTGTCAATCCTCAGCCGCGAGGATTGGGACCTTGAAATCACGATCACAAGCAAACGCGCAGAGCATTGAGCAACACACCTCGGGTTGAACCTCTCAAGGTGCATGCTGTCACCGGCAGTCTGCATGTGGATCGTAGACGATGACTATGGCTGGAATAAGCTCAAGTTCGTTCACGAGGGCTATGGCTGCCTCACGGCTGTGCCTGTGGCGCTGCCTCGCTGTCGCTGTCGCTGTCGCTGTCGCTGTCGCTGTCGCTGTCGCTGTCGCTGTCACTCGCGGGGCCCCGCGCTGACATTGTCACCGCCTGTCGTTGGCATTAACTGGCTTCACTGTCACTGTCACTATGGCTGTCACTGTTCCTGGTGCCTTTCACTCCTCCTTGGCAGCTGGCTGTCACCAGCTGTCACCAGCTGTCACCAGCTGTCACCAGCTGTCACCAGCTGTCGTTGCTGCCGTCGTTGCTGCTGTCGTTTCGCAGCCGCTGTCATGACATGTTGACCACGTCATGACGGTTAACAGCCGTTTTAACCGTCATGACGTGAACTTTCCATAGTCTCTGATTCTCGACGTGGCCCGAAGTCCCGATCCGGCGCCAGAGCCCGAACCCGCCGCGGGCATTTTTGCGCGGCTACATGACGGAGTACTGGGTCTCTCAGGCCCGCCACTGGTGCGAGTACTGCAAGATCTTCATCAACGGCTCCAAGCCGTCCATCGCCTTCCATGAGAATGGGCGCAAGCACAAGGAGATCGTCGAGCTCTTCATGAAGGACATGCGCAAGCGCGGGCGCGAGCGGCGGCACGAGGAGCAGGAGGTGAGCCGCGAGCTGCAAAAGATCGAGCGCGACGCGATGCGCCAGTACATGAAAGACGCGGGCCCTGGCCCTCGCTCCGGCGGCGGTGGTGCGGTCGCAGCGGTGGGCGGCGGGCCGGCGGACCGGGCTGCGCGGCTCGCCGAGTTGGAAGCGCGGCTCGCTTCGGCGAAGCAGCAGCAGCTGGGCGGTGCCGCGTTTGGCAGCGCGGCCGGCGGCGCGGCCGGCGGGAAAGCACTGCCTCCGCCCGACGGCTGGAGGGTCAAGGCCAACCCAGACGGCCGGTGA